CTGCTTCCCCACTCCCCTTACAACCATTAACAGCCACCCCCCCCTTAGTTACAAGTGGCAGAAACAAATCAATCCAACTCCCAACGAATGCAATACAATGGAAAACAACAACAGTTGGGTGATGCAGATTCTGACAAACGTTCTAGAAAAGATAATCAAAGTTCCCTCTGCACCAAATTAGAAGTAAGTATCTTAAGAATATTAAGAGACATCAATAATTTATCTCAGTAAATTAAAGCAAGAGTTTTTCTGTCTCAAAAGAAGTGAAATGGGGAATGATATAAAGGATGATTACGGGAGTCGTCATTTAATGGCCACTTGTTCAGCAACCATTCAAAGACGGCATTGAATGAGTGGTACTTACAATCCGTCCTTCAAGTTCTGGCTGTCCAAGTACCCCTGCAGTCATGTGATCATGATCTGAGCACTTGGCAACCAGCTCACACTTATGACGGTTGCAGCATCCCAAAGACTGACATTTGCGACCTTGCAAGCCACCTGGGATTCGCATTAATGACCTGCGTTCCTTGCTTAATAATGGCAATGGGGAGTGCTGGGATTACCATCGCTAAGTGATGCAGTCACATGATGCTGTACTTTATGACAGCATTGCTTAGTGATGGAAATTCTGGCCCCAATTACTGTCATCAACCGAGGACTATCTGTATATCAACTGAGGAATGCAGTGATGAATGAAAGATATTGGGCTTAAGAGAACCTATCAAGGCTGCCAGAAGGCTGTGCAAATCAGTTAATCAAGTGACACACAATAAAAAAAACTGCCATCAGATGAAGGCTAACTGTACAATTTGAATGCCCTCAATTTAGCAGATGTATTTTTGATTAATTCCAATTACCTCGCATACAAAGGATAGGTTTTGGTTCCCAAGCCTCAAATGAAAATCAACCACACATTTCTTAGTTTCTACTGCTATATAAGTAGAAATGTCACAGAATTCTAGCTGGCAGAAAATACAGATAATTTAACTCAATCTGGTCGTGTAAACCAAGGTCATTCACTTCCTGTCACCGATCCAACTTTTACTAGATATTAGGGCTGCTTCAGAGCATGCAGGGGCACGTACACAGCACCCATCTGAATGTCCTTAAAGCAGCCGTGTCTTTTCCTGGTCTGCATATCTCCCCTCCTCAGCTGCTCTGTGATCCTAAGAAAAAATGTTTTTGGCTTGAGAAGCTGCAGGCAGGTCCAACCAGCAGAGAATACATGGAACTATTACTTCCTATGATCTGGATGCAAAGCTTGAATGAATGCTGCCTAGAGTGTTTCAAAGCCGAAATCGCTTTGAAGCAGGCATGGACCGTGGCTGCTGGTGCCTCCTTAAAAAAAAAATATCTGAGAATAGAGAATGGCTTTAACATGTGTACACAGAATCTAATGGTAGCTTACAACACTTTACAGGCCCTGCAGGATCTCTAGGGAATAAAATCTGAGTCATCCCGCCTAGTATTTTGTAGCCACTCCTACACGTGAACCACAAGATCAGCTGAAATATACTTTGAAAAGCAAAAAGCCAGTTTGGCCTAGTGGTGAAGGCCCCAGGCTAGAAAGCAGGAAATCTAATCTCGCCTTGGGCATGAGAGCCGGCTTAGTGACTTTGGGCCAGTCACTTTCTCTCAGCCCAACTCACCTCACAGGGTTGTTGTTGTGGG